GAGTTCAAATTCTGGCTCCACCATTTCTTAGCTGTGTGACCACGGGCAAGTTATTTAACCTTTCTGTGCCTCAGTTCAAATGGGGAATAATAATAGTGCAGGCTTCACCGTGTTGTTGTAAGTAATAATTATGATCACTATCATTATCTCTTCATTGTTATTATTATTTATTCAGAGCTCATGGGAGTTCTTGGAGAGACTGTGTAGCATCACGGCTGAGAGTAAAGATGCTGAAACCAAACTGCCTATATCTAAATCCCACTTCCCTACTTATAGCTGTGTGACCTTGGTTAAGAAATTGACCTCTCTGGGCCTCAGTTTCTTCATTTGCCAATGTTTCCCTTGGACAGAGAGATGGCAAATGAGACTCAACTGGACCAATGAGATTCAAGGCCAGGATTTCTGCTGGGACCACCAGGGAAAAGAAGCCCTCTTTCCATCAGGGTTGCTGAGCTGGCAGGATGTGAGCCTGCCTGAGATAAATCTAAAGAGGGGGAAGCAGATAAGCGAGCTAGAGAGACAGAGTTATGATGACATTGTTGGAGCCCCTGGATGTGGCTGTGCCTGAAGCAAGCCCTCTTTGGACTTCCCAGTTTCATGAGGCAGCAAATTCCCCATTTTGTGAAAGCCACTTTCAGTCGGGTTTTTCTCACTGGAAACCATCTGGGCTGACACCAGGAGGTTAAGCAACTTGCCTGAGGCCTGAAAGCTAACAAGTAGCAGACGCAGGCTTTAGGAGCTTCTGCCCGCTGTGCCCAGGCCAGCATCCTGCATCTGGATGCTCCCGGATTTCACCTCCCTCTCCTCTCTGAGCAGCCGTGTTCTCATCGGCAATGTGGGTAACAGCAGGCTCGCAGGGCTGCTGGGAAACGTAAAACACGAGATAACACTGGGCTGAGTGCTGCCAGTGGCCAGCGGCCGAACTCTGCACATCCTGTCTCCGGCGCTGTGGGCCCGGGCCTGGCCCCCGGGGAGTGACCCATCCCAGGGAAGGTCTTTGGCTGACCCCAAATCAGCCAGCAGTCAAGGCGCCCAAACTGTTAGGAGAGCGTGTGCGAATCTGAGAGGGACGGGCCACTTCCTTTCCCGGCCCTGTGTCCTCCCTGGTGCACAGAGGGAGCTGGGTGACCCTGAGGACCCCGGAGCTCCGAGTCCACGAGGTGGAAAGAAGTGCTGTCAACTTGCTTTCTGGAACCTTCCGAGGACTCTTGGGCTCATCTGGGAATGACCCGTAGCTTGAGGAAGACAGCACTGAAGCAAATCAACTTGTCTCTTTTCTTCATGAAGTTCACGTTTAGCGATGGAGATAAGCACAGAACACAGACACATGACCTAGCACCACGTGGTGCCAGGAAGGAGAAGGGGTGTCCTCGAACAGCCGCTGAGTGCTAAGAAGAGAAGGGAGCGAGGGATGGGGCTCTGTGGAGCAGGAGGCGTCAGGAGCGGCCTCCCCGAGGAAGCCACCGTTCATCAGGGACAGTTGGGTCTCGCTCTGCATCCCCAGCCCTCAGCACGTGCCGTCTCCCAGAAAAGTCTCCCAGAAAAGAGCCCGGGCCAGATTTTAGCGGGAAACTTGCTGATGCTGCTAGCTTAGGAGTCGATTATCCGTTGGAGCCTTGGTAAACAGCCATCCCTCTCCACTGACAACGCTTTCGGACATTTTTAAAAGTTTAATGGGTCATTGATTTCTTCCATTAGCCAAATCCATGAAGGGAAGGCCCGAGAAGCCGCGTGGGGCCATCCTCGGGCAGGCCTGCCAGGAAAAGGTTTCAGCTGTCACGACACACTTTGTTTACTCTCTAACCAGCCATCACTGAAAGATGCCCAGTCGCCACCATCACGTCTGGGGGGTTCCAGGCCTCGGCAAGGAGCTAGCAGAGCCCTCCCCACGAAAGCTGAGCCTCAGAGAGTGGTGGAAGAGCCAGCACCTTGGGTCCCTCCACCAGGCCAAATACCAGGCGCTTGGGACACGAACAAGAAGTCGAGGTCCTTGCCCTCATGGAACATTACGGGGGGGGGGCAGGAGAAGGAAGCAAGCTGGCAAACAATTGAGCAGGGGAATTTTAGACAAAGATGAGTGTGACGATGTAAGAAACAAGGTCTGTGGTAGAGAGTGACTCGGGGCTATTTTAGAAAGGGTGGTGAGAGAAGACCTGTCTGCGGAAGTGACATTTGATCTGAGACCTAAAGGGTGAGAAGATCTGCAAGAAGAGTGGTCCAGGTAGAAGGGACAGCTGGTGCAAAGGTCCTGAGGTAGAAACTAGTTCAATATATTAGAGGACTGGGCTGGAGTGGAATGCAAGAAGAGGAGAGAGTTTGAGGAGGTGCCAGGGGCAAGGGTTAGGACTTATTTGGGTTTCATTCTAAAAAGGATGGGAAACTATTGGAGGGTTTTACAAAGAAGAGTTTCATGACCCAATTATTAAAATCTCTCTCTGGCTGCTGCTATGTGAAGAATTTACCCTCTGCCACTGTAGTAAGTTGAGTGGGGGCAGCCAAGAAAGATATGTCCAAGTCTTCACCCTCAGAACCTGGAAGATGACCTTATTCAGAAAAAGGGTCTTCGCAGATGTAATTAATTTAAGGATCTCAAAATGAGATCATCTTGGATCACCTGGGATTGACAAATCATCCTGGATCAGGGTGGGTCCCGAATCCAATGACAGGTATCCTTATAAGAGGGAGGCAGACGGAGATCAGATAGCCGCAAGAGGAAAAGACACAGAGAAGAAAATCCCGGGAAGATGGAGACAGAGCCTGGAGTGATGCTGCCACCGCCCCCAGGTGCTGGAAGAGGCAGGAAGGAGTCCCCCCCAACAGCCTTCAGAGGGAGTGTGGCCCTGCCGACACCTTATTTCAGACTTCTGGCTGCCAGAACTTCAAAAATAAATGTCTGCTGTTCTAAGCCACCACATTTGTGGGGATTTGTTACGCCAGACCTGGGAAACCAATACAGCCACGAAACAGCCCAAACTGGAACCCTGCTCGAGCCTCTGCGGCCCCCTGCACCCCCCTACAAGATCCTGTGCATAGCTTCGGCCCCACTCAAACGCTGCCCCAGTCACTGGGTGGCAATCCCTGCAGGCCTGAGGGCCACTTGGGCTCCAGACGGGCATTTGATTTATTTACTTACTTAGCCCAGCCCTCGGGGACAGGAATGAACCAGGCCTGTTCTCTGTCCCCCTGAGGAGCTCTCAGTTCTGTGAGTTCAGATGGACGAGCACTGAGATAAACAAGGGCAGGAAGAATATGTGAGCCTGGAGAGAGACGTGGATCAAGACTGGAACTGGGCAGCCTCCAAGCGTAGGGTTCCCAAACTTATCCCCAGAAGGGGCACCCGTGAGGAACCACCCTCCCTCACAGTTTCTAAAGACGTTGTCTATTAAACCAATTGCATTTATTCAATAAGAACTTATTTACCTCTCCATTGGCTATTATTTGAAGGTACATAACAATGAGGGCTAATACGTATTGATACACTGACGGTACTAAAAGCATTATATATACCCTGTCACTCTTCACATTGCCCCTGCGGGGTGGGTAATTTTATTAGCCTCATTTTACAAAGGAGGGAACAGAGGCAGAGAGAGGTTAGGTAATTTGCCCAGGGTTGCACAGCTAGTATTTAGCAGAGCTGGAATTTGGACCCGGGAAGCCTGTCTGCAAAGCAAGCGACCCCCTGGAGACTGGGTTAGATGCTGGCCTCCACACCAATGTGCAACGCTACTCCGGACGAGTGATTTTTGCCTCTCTGCGCCTCGGTTTCCTCATCTATAAAATGGGAATAACAAAGGTGCCTATGTTGTAGGGTTGTTGTAGAGATTAAATGGGAATGTGTACTTGGAATGCGAGGCACCGTGCCTGCCACAAGCGCTCAGGAAGGAGCTGGGATCAACCAGTGACCCCAGGCAGCTGCTCTGGGCAGGCCTGAGACGGGAACGGTGTTCAGCCGTCTAGGTTTCCTGACCCCAAAGAGTTCACGGTCTCCATCCACATAACGTGCCCGGCCCGGAGCTGGACGGATTAAAGCAGAACCGCAGCAAGGCATCCCCGCCAGCCCTCCTTGCATGTGCTTCGAGGACCCCAGGTACAGAAGTAACTGGGTTGCTGGTGAAAAAGACAGATTCCTGGTATCCGAATCCTTCGCAGATGGGTCCAGAAATCCGCGTGATTCAACACACTCATGCACCACGGAATCTGTGCTCCACTGAGTCCAGTCTGAGCAGGATTTCCTTGCAACTTTGGGAAATATTGAAAACCATTCCAAGACCCGAATCGATTCTATCCTACAGCGCCCAGGACAGGAGTCCCACGAGGGAAATCTTGCGTTTCCGACGAGGACAGTACCCTCGGGGCGTGGCGGGCCCTCCCCAGCAGCCTGGTGAATCACGGAGGTCTGGGTTTCAGGAGAAAAGGGCAGACGTCTAACCAGAGGCGGGAGGCAGGAAGTGGAGCGGGCAGCCCTCCGCCCAGACTCCGGCACGGAGCCCTGAGGCCGGGGCCGTGCTGCTGCTGCTGAAAGACGCAGGACCACTTCAGGGTCACCCTGCGACTCAACCGGCCGCGTCTAGGCTCGAACCCGAGCTCCGCAGGGGCTTAGCGAACCCACGCGCCGTGGGCGGGGCTCCGGGCGTCGCCTAGGCAACGGCGCGCCACGCCCAAGCCGGGAGCCGGGCGCGGAGGAGGGAGCGCACGCTGCCGGAGCTCTCGCGGGGCTCGGGCTCCTTCCCCGCAAGCACCGCCCCTAGGCCCCGCCCCGCGGAAGTTCTTGCCGCCATTCTCGAGCGCTGATTGGCCCTCCCGCTTGGGGGGCGGGGCCCGTGGCAGCGCGGTGCGTACTTCCGGCTGCCGGTTGACATGAAGAAGCAGCGGCGTCTAGGGCGGCGGTAGCGGCGGGAGCGGCGACGCGGTGGGGCTCGGGGCTGCGAGGGCGACGCGGCCTGGAGCGGCGGACGGCGCAGCGGGCCCAGGAGGAGGCGCGGCGGCCGCCCTGGCCCGTCATGGAGATGGAAAAGGAGTTCGAGCAGATCGACAAGGCCGGGAGCTGGGCGGCCATTTACCAGGTGCGGGCGCGCCCCTCGCCTAGGCCGCGGCAGCCTCCCGAGAGCCCGGGCCGCCCTGCCTCCGGGCCGCCCCCGCCCCGGCCCGGCTTCGCGAGGGGTCGACCCGACGGCGGCAGACGCCGGCCGCCTCCCTCTTTGTCCCCCGGCGGGCCCGCGTCTCTCCCGGGCCTCGCAGCCCCCCGCCCCCGAGCTCGCATTCTGCGCGCGGTGACCCCCGGGCCCCGAGGCCGGCCGTCGGCGCCCTCGCCCCGCGCCCCCGTCCGCCCGCCCACCCTTTGTCCCTCGGGGCTGATGGAGCACCCCCACCGCTTCCTTTCCTAGGCTGGACCACCTCGTCCTCTCTTCCTTTGTCTCCCGGGGGGAAAGGGCTGCTCGCTCCTCCCTCCTGCACGTTTCCTCTCCCCCGGTCTGTGTGCGTGAGTCCCGGGGATGACAGTCCCCTTCCCCCTTCCTGTTCATTCATTTCGCGGAGCTGGATGGGCTTGCCTGATCCGGGCCGGGCCAGGCTTGGGCGCCGGAGGTAACGTTTGCCGGACAGGACGGGCAAGACTCCTGCCCCTCGTGGAGCTTAGAGTCGAAGAGGGCCGTGAAACACGCAAGCGGGTAATTTCAGGTGGTGACAAGTGCTGTGAAGACAACGAGGCGTCGCAGTGGGGCGGAGAGTGACTGCACGGAAGGTGGGCTGCCTCGGAGGAGGGGGTCGGGGAAGAGCTGTCCGAGGAAGGGACGTTGGCTCCGCGAGCTGAAGGGGAGCAGCGGCGGCCCTGAGAATGTCAGGCCAGGGAGCTTTCCAGCCCGGAGGCCTGCGGCACCCGCTCCCCTGGGGCCCAGATACTGCCCTTTCCGCAGGGAGCGGGGAAGGGTGACGTTTTTGCCTTCTCTGAAATAGTATCTTCTCCCGGTGAGCATCTTAGCCTTCCGTCGTGGCTGAGACGATTGTGTCTTTCCGGTCCTCTCCCTGTGGGTTATGGTGGTTCGTAAGTAAAAAGTTAGGAAGATAGGGTTTCTCACATGTCTCTACAACATCAGATTAAAAACACGAAGAGAACTGCTTTCACAAACAGTTAAATCCTCTAAAGAAAATGTGTGCTCCCGATTAAATGTCATTGCGGGGGTTGTGAAGATTAACCAAAACCACACTCGGTATTTTGAATAAGCGATCTACAGAATAGAGAGATTTTGTTACTTGTGTAAAGGGAGAAGGCAGTTTATAGGCTCGAGAGGCAAATTGTGAGACCCATCAGCTGGTAGTGTTAAAATCTATTTTGAGCTCCACTTAAAAAGGAAAAAAGCTTTAAGCAGTCCTTTGGTATGCTTGACTAACAAAAGCCTTTTTTTGGCAGGCTTGGTCTCATGTGGATTTGCATGAGATTTATTTGACAGGGTTCTTTTTACTTGGACTGTAATGTATATTAACTTCGGGTAGACTATTATTTATAGCCACTGTAATTTGTATAAGTATGAGCAATCAATATATAAAATTTGTCTTCCGGGTCTAGTCTCTGAGTTAATTGAATGAATTCCACTAGTGACTTTGAGAATGTGTAGACAAATGTAATGCAGTGGACTCTAAAGTGGCTTTAAATGAACAGATTGTTGGAGTTCATTATGATATACCCCGTCACAAGTGGAGGGGGCCTCCAGGAGGCATTGGGGAAAGTCTTTTATACTGAAACTGAGTTGCCAACACATTCATATTTATAAGACGTTCTTGGTTGAATTTCGTTTCTTACCGTTTCAGAGCAGAGTAGACCTGTCACCCAAGCATTGTTAAAACTCGCCAAATCGTGCCACTAGCATGAAGCCTGTTGGTCTTCAATTAATTTCCCTCATTGTTCTCACATTTGAACCCAGGAGTCAGTATGCTGTATGTTGAGATTTCCCCAGCTTCTTAATGGATTGCCACCTTCCTGGAAGTGGTTTCTTTTGATCTTGGAGAATTGTCCACTATGGGCTTTCTCACCTCTACCATACAGATATGTTTCTTTTCTAAAATTGAAATCAGAAGCTCTTCTCCTTTTTGAGTTTAAAAGTGGCTCTTTATTGGGCAATTGTGGCATTTTTAAAAACGTAGAGTTCAAATGACCTCAAGTCTAAAGTGGCACGTTTTCCGGAGTGTGTCAATTTACCAAAAATGTTATTTTTCAAGAACTCAAAGAAACTGCGTTTATGGTTGGCAGAAAATGGCAGTTAAAAAAATTAATATTTCTTAGCATGTCACAATGAGGGGAGCCTTATACAAAGTCATTTTGAGCTTGCCTAGTCTGTTGTGATTAGAATAATATGTAATTTTTGCTTAGCATTTTGTAAACAGGGCGGTGCAGTTATTTCTCACAATACTAACTTCTAACTAGAACAAAACGATGCAAAAACGATGCAAAAACTTGGAAACAACTGGGAAAAGATCAAAGGGTGGAGGAGAGTTTCGAATGCTGAGGAAGGTGGTAGCTTAGAAACAAATGTTTCAGAGATTCTATGCTGGCTCAATTTCATCAAGTGAGCTAACTTAATTGTTTTAACGTTAATTGTTAATGCTAATAAATAGCATAGATACTAAGAAGCATTTAGATCTGTAAGAAGTCAGCTTTGATGGCATATATAGATGGCTTTAAAAATTGTTTTTTGTCACTTATATGTCTAGTTCGAAAGGGGAAGTAGTGTTCAGCGAGCCGCTGTTTGAGTTGGTCTGGCTGTCCAAAGAGGGGAGAGAACTGGTTTTCGCAGCTGGGCTGAGAGGAGAGAGGGCTCGATGAATGAAAATGCTTGAGGAGCTGCCCTCTGTTTGTAGTTTGAGGTTTTGGGGTCAGGTGTTTTGCTCTTTCTCTCCTCTCTAATTCTTTGATTCTCTGACACTGTTCACTGCTTTTCATTGTGAATGATTTGATTGTTTTCAGATAAAGGAGATTGTAACGATAGCTCGTGACTTGAAGGCAAGATTTATTCCATGTTAGAGGCAGGCTTTGTGAAATGGGCCACTCTTCCAATTGACGTTTGTTTTTATAGCTGCTTTCATTATGAAATACGATTGAATGCCTGACTAGGTTAAAACCATGTTATAACAATAGTTCACCCAAATTCCTCACTGCTGTATACGGCTTATGTTATAGTCCAAGAAGATGAATATTAAAACCTCCCAATGATGTTTATTTAAATACCATCCTCTTCAGAGAAAAACGATGTTGTGCAGAAGAGAAAGATCTATACACTATGACTCACTTTTCTTAAAAAAAAAAAAAAGACAAACGGAAATGACATGGAGAGACTGGGAAGTTCTGATCATCTTGAGTGACCCATCGGATGGAAACGTGCTGCTTCAGCCCTGGTTTGAGTGAACTAAATTTAGGTGTCTGACCACCACTTTGGAAATGGTGTAAAGACCTTTGTAATTGTCAGGACTCGTCCTAAGTTAACTGGGAGCACAAGTAGAATAGTGGAGGGAAGAACTTTTTGCTATCATTCTGTGTTTGACATGACTGGCCTGTTTATGGGAATGCTTTGATGCTTTTGGAAGTACGGAAACCAAAGCCAGCTGGGGGATAACGGTAATACAGGTGATTTTCACGTGCCGGTTATCTGTCGTCGGGCTCATGGCCTCCCCACTGTATTTTGCTTCTTAGCATGACTCGCTCCCCAAAACCTGTAAAAATACCTAGTATTGAGTAATGTAATTGAATATATGCTGAATTTCATGATAGAAATAAATTTTAAAATTTCCTGTAGGAGTTTTTCACACTGTGAACTGACATAATTATGGCTTTTCATTTTCTTTCTTTCCTTTTTTTTCATTTTTTGAATTGTCTGTTTTCTGATCTTCTCGATTGCAGAACTCTTTTGGCAATTTTTGTCCTTTGCTGTGCTTTTAATTGCATATGCTTTTCCCAGAAGCCTCTCTGGGCCCATATGTGTTTTGCCCAAGCTGGCGTTCCTCCCTACAGTGTTTATGTTAATAGGTTCATGGTAACCAACTAATACTGACAAATAGGCTGGGCCTGTTTCTTCATCCTGCCCATATTCAGGAAGATGGGAAGTCTAGCTGGGTCATTGTTTCCGAGACAATGTAGTTTGGTACCAGTCGCTTGGTGTGCCTGTTTTGAATACCGAGGCGTGCTGGGGACTTTGACTGGTTCTTGGTTCCCTCTACCGTATTGCACCGCTTGGTCACCGTGGCATCCTGCCTACCCCCCAGTGGTCTAGGTTCTCAAAGTTTGCTTGTAACGCTCGCATAATACTGCTGTCGTTTCTAGTTTCACACTGCACAAACGAGTGAAAGCAGTAGCGTATTAACATGGCCCCTCAACAGTCTGTTCACCTCTCCCCCCACAGTGTGTTCTTCACGTTATCGCTAGACTGATTCTGTTAACAACAGCCCTGAGCCTGTCACTCCCCTGTTTGACTCTTTCTAGCGCCGTCCTAGTACCTGGGAGATCCAGACTCCTCAGCATGGCAGCCAGGTTCCAGCTGTGCCTGCCGTGTACCTTCTGTTCTGGCCACGCTCGCGCCGTTCTCCGGACTCATCTCTCTGTGCCTTGGTTCAACGCCTTCTCCAGGCCGCCCTTCTCCTCAGTCTGGCTTGCTCCTCCCAGCTCAAATGTGAGCCTCCCCCTGTAGATTTTTGCTCTCTCACCTGTGCGTTTCTGTACCCCATCATGCTCATGTCTTCTAAAGCCCTGGCCTCGCGGGAGCTGTCTCTTTACATCCAGATCTGTCTTCTCCAGAGTCCGAGCTGTTGGGGTCGGCTCTCCCATCTTTCTCATTCATCGTGGTGTCCTCCACACCTGGCACAAGTACGTAAGAATGTTGGGATTGAATTGGCTGTCAGCACTTTGCCAGGCCCTGACAGTATAAAGACGAACAAGACATGGTTCCCAGCTCCCACTCTGGGTGGGAAGGAATGATAGAAACAATTCGATTCGGCTGCGTTGGTACTGCAGCAGAGGTCACTCTCAGAGAACACCAGCGCATTTTGAGCCGTGGCCTGATGGGGAACCTAGTATGGCCTG